ACCGGTGTCTATTCACGTGTTTAGTTTTTTTTTTGGGGGGGGGGGGGGGAACTATTTGTTGGTTTTCTAATGCTTTTGCTTGCTTAAGGGGTTCACCTTTTTTACAGTTTATTGGTTTGAGTGCAAACACATTTGCATTTACAAAAAGGCTTCCCAGGAAAGAGGAAAGCATACAACAGGCTACATGTAATTATAAGGAAAATGTACCATGTATGGTTCAGAACAATAATATGGGGAACAAACCAGAAGCGATTCCAGCAGCTGATCCAGCAGCCTTGAGTGACAGCTTTCTACGACCACCTTTATCAAGCAGAGCTCCAACTCCCTTGGCAACAGATGTACCAATTTCAACACTTGGGCCTTCTGGTCCTAAGGAATTCCCAGTTCCTAATGTGACACAAGCAGCCATTGTCTTCAAAACTGGTCCCAACACAGATTTAACAGATGATGTCCAACTTCCTTCAGTTGAAACCTCCAGAGTGGCTCGGAAGGCATTCAAAAAGCTGACTACCAAACCGCCACAAGCTGGTACTAAGATTACACGTTGCCAATGTACTCCAACGGGCTCCTCTGAGGCAGCTCGATATGGAATTCCATCCCAACAAAGATCACGTATTTCATGAACCTAACCAAGGGAGATATCCGTTATATCACCACAAATGGAACATTCTCTTCAGTTCTCTTTTGTATGGTGACAATGTTGTTAAATTACATAGGAGAGCATTTAAACAAAAGAGAGTGACATATGGGTTGCTGATAAATATTAGGTAATCATCGGGCGCTGCATAATCTTATATCAAGAGCCAAATTGTATGTCTTGAATAACAAAATGACTTATAAATGAGGCCAATTTAGATTATCTGTTTCTGAACTAGCCAGAATGGTCTAAGCTGGTAAGGTTAAAATTCAGAATGTCAGCATATTTTACTAAGTTATGTGAATTTGATGTATAGGATACTCCTCTGATAAAATGTACAATAATTTAAAGTAGGCAGGGGCTTGATTGACTGAGGCCAAGTAATAGGGTGTTTGGCCAAGCTTAGTGCTTTTTTTTTTTTTTTTGCCAAAAATAATTTTGTCAAAAAATTGAGGTGTTTGGCCAAGTTTTGGAAGTAAAAAAAGTGCTTACACTAATTGCTCCTCAGAAGTAAAAAAAGTGCTTCTCAAAATAAGGTGATTTTCGCAACTTGGCCAAACAAGCTATAAGTAAGGGGGAATAGTAGATGAAAAGAGAAATGAAAGACCTATAGCGCACGTACCGCAGCGTTGAAAAGCACGACACTGATACCGGTGAAGAGGCCAACAAAGCAAGCCGAGATTATAGCGGTATTATTGCCTTGTGGGATAACTTCCTCGAGCAGAGATCCTAACTGGATGCCACTATCACTATCACTATCACTATCGAATTTGCTGCTGTCGCACATATCTTGTTCTTTATCAATGTTTCCGTCAAAGGAACGTCCCGGAGGAAGAGATGGTCGTCGAGCCCAAGGCCAGCAATTTGGATGACGACCCAACAACTTCCGTGATTCATTGTTTAACAGACGAGCAAACCGAGGGGCGGAGTGCGTGACTGACTTTTTTAAAGCTTTGTCGTTACAGAAAGATACACAGATATGGCGAGGAGATAAGGAATTGAAGAGCGAATTAGGAGGATGGTGCAGCACAGTGTTTTGGCCGCTAATCATAGCTGTCTGAAGCGTACAACTTCGTCAGACCAATAATAAAAATGTCAACTTTTTTTATTCTACAATATAATGTTATCACAATTTTTTAGATTTTACCCGTCAACTAAGCTTTTTTGATGAGGACTTTCATTTCCTTTTTCTTCTTTTTCTTTGTTCGTGGATTGGCTTTTATATTTACTTGTTTTTTGATGGAATGTGTATACCGAGTTATGTAATATATAATATTATTAAATAAAATTTTAATAAATAATTATACAAGTTTCTATGAATTATCAATGTGGATCGTCGTATAATGACTTGTTTGTCGAGGTAAAGATGATTGGATATTATTTGAAACTACGAAAATGAACAATCAAAATTTAATCAGACATAACTAATTTTTTATTTTGTTGTAATTTTATGATGTACAATTACATAATCAATCGTTTCTCACTTAACACTTATAAATATTATTCACAATACATGTTCCTTCTTGCAGTGGCATAATCTTTTTTACAACTATCATGAACATTGCCAATTGAATTAGTCATTTTTGAATCATTAATCGTCATTCTTGATAGTCCTTCTATTTTCATAATAATGAATAGCGTTGTTTTACATTGCTTGAGCCTTATGATACATATATAATCATTTACATAATTAGTGTTTGATACATCTAAAAGTATAAATTGCATAAAGAATATACATAACCGTTCAATTGATTAATATGTCTTTCTTACAATTTCAGTATTGTAACATTTACTATGAAACGATATTATGGCGTGAAAATCTCAGCATTAATCTCTTGACTAAGACACTTCACTTTTGCTAAAAACATAAAATTCTTCAAGACCTTGCAAACATTTTATTGAATCGATCATCACTCATTACATATCCCGTATTTGACAGACCTCAAGCCCACACGAAACATGCGTGTAAACCTAATTAACCAAACAAGAAAGAAAACACTCATAACCTTTGTAATGCGTTTTAAAATTCAATTGACAAATAAAAAAATAATATACATATTCATAAACTACGCTAGATAAAAGAAAGAGCATAATCTTCGCTCAATCAAATACCCCAACTCAAAAGCTTTCTTGTTCTATGGGAATTCCATAAATTCTCTATTTCATTATTATTTCTTCCTGCTAATCTTCCGCCTATAAATGACTACCTATAATGAGAAGAAAAAAGATAAAAATCTTTTGAGAAAATAAAGATGAAATTCTATTGTTTGACCAAAAAGTGTTAAGTCTTTTAGCTAAACTAATTATATAAAATGATAATAGGTAAATTCTAGTTAAATATCATAAGTCCTAGATCCAAGATTGATTGATATCAATAATATAAAAATCGCATTCAAGGCTATTAAATATCAAGCAGATGTTTAATGATATTGTTATGAATGAATGAGGGGATAGTGACAAGCAATAAATATGATAAATGACAATAAATATCAATAGAGAGAATGATTCACCCAAATATTCAATGAGGTAGATAATTCTCCCTCTGACAGTGATGTAAGGTAACCAAACGTAGGAATATAGAGAACTTTATCGGATCTGATGTGAGAAAATTTGGGACAAACAACAAATCGAATCTTGTGTAAAGATAATGTTTGTAGTTACTTGAGAGTCAACTTTTCTAGAGAGGGCGTATCATAAAGAATATTACATACCTCTTTCTTTCTCTCTCTCTTCCTACTTATATGGGACATATCGCTTTAAAATATCTTATTGCTAAACTAGTCGTTTTGGCCAATATGAATGCTCGACCTCGACCTTAGTTGCTCGGCTCGCCAATGTTACTTCTTAAGCATGACCTCGGCCTAATTGATTCTTGATTGCCTCTTTCAGGCGAGGTCCCCTTGATTAGATTTTGAGCCATACAGTTAGTCCCTCCACCCATCGAGGTTGTCTTTGGACGAGCTCGATGAGCGGACTTCGCCAGTTATAATTTTGAGAAATCTGAGCACGTTGGTCGAGGAGTGACCCTTTTATGGCGAGGTGATGACGTGGCCTTTCAAGAGCCACATCTGACTATTACGTCAGTTTGAAATTACTTTATTTCATCATGCGTCATTATGGCGCATGTTCCCAATATGTTACGTAGTTTCCCGCGCCTCTTTCATTTCGAAATTAATGAGGTGGCGTTTGGGCTTTCTCGATCAGGGTGCCCATCTTCTTATCAATAGGGATTGACATTTCTTACTTGAGCTGTTGCATTTCTGAAGCTTTTAAAACCCCAAGCTTTTCCTTCTTCATGAAGGAGCAGCCATGGTAGAAGACAAGAATTTTCCCACTGTGGATGAGATAATTCCACGTTCGGGGAAGGCCAGGTCAGACTTCAAGAACCCACCTGAGGGTGATACTGAACCCGTCGTTTCTAAGATGGATGCGGTGGCGCTCGTTGCATTTAGGACTAAATGGTAAATCTCGACCCACGTCGAACTTATCCCTGCTGGTAGCAATGTAGTGCAAGTACATCGCCTAGGGTACTATGCATTTTATGCGTACCCGTTTCGTTGTCGGCTATACACTTCCTCTTCCTTCCTTGGCGGAGGATTTTTGCCTTTATTACGGCGTGTGCCCGGATCAACTCTCCCCGTACATATACAAGCTTAACCTTATGCTTATCAAGTACGCGGAGCTGGCCAACCGTGGTGTTTCTCTCTGCCATCTACTTCACCTCTTCGCCCCAAGTTTTCATAGGGGCACGATGATACACCCATGCCACCGTGGTACCAAGGGATTAGTGGTGAAGATGGACGATAAAACCAATCGCCGTTTTTGGGCCAGTTTCTTCTACGTGAGAACGGAGCACGTGGTATCGAACCCAGCGGATTCCCCGAGTACTGGAACTTTACTCGTAAGTGTTTTCTCCCAAATGACTTTGTTGTTTCTTTTTGGCGATCTGATCGTTCTCCTTTACTATTTTTGCAGCCGAGAGGGACCCTCCTTCGCTAGTCGTCGACATTCGCGACCGGGTGAGTCAAATTTTGTCTCACACGGTGGGGATTCATGAGTGGTCGTAGTTTATTGAGAGGTTTGGGCGCAGGCCTGCGGCCGGTGAGTCACCTTGCTTTGATCTTAGTAATTTTGACCTTTGTATCGTCCTTTCTTTCCTTCTTATTTGTCTTTCTTCGTTGGTAGGTCGGAGGGCTTCAAGGAGGGCGAGGGCTCCTACGCCTGCTTTTCGCCAGTCAGGTATTTCGGCCAGGCCCGTACTCGTTGTGGCTACAAGTGGGCCTGCTCAGACCGCGGTTACTCCTCGGACCCCAACCTCGCATGGCCCTAGTCGTCAAGCTGCTGCCCCGCCAGCAGAGATTCCAGCTTCTACAGTGTTTCACTTGGTCGATGAGTCGGACCAAGGTGAAGATAAAGAGGCTCCGCTGAAAAGGTGAAGGATAGAGATTGATGGAAGAGTGGACGAAGAGGAGCCGGCGGGGGGTGAACCTGAATTGACCACGGTCGAGCTGAGGGGCGGTACGGCCTTGGATGTAGAGATCGTGCCTCCTTCGGACGTGGAGATCACCTCCACAGAAGAAGGGGAGCGACTAGAAGCGGCTGTGATCATTCAGAGAAGTGATCCGTCGACGTCAGGGCAGGCCAAAGTTCCTTCTTCAATTGAGGAGAGGGCGAAGAGTGTGATCATAGATGATTACGAATCCAGCTCTGATGTCGACCCCAAGGAAGCGAGGATATTCGATGAAGGGCTAGCTCGGGTGGAGGTGAGAACGGATGGATCCTCTCACTCGATCGTAATCCCTTTGGACTGAGATTTGTTGGAGGATACGGTGAGCATGGCTCCCTCCTTTTCCCCTCTTTGCTCTGCCGCCGAAAACAGGACCCTTCAGGCGCTCCGGGATTCCGACCTGTCACTGGGCATATCTGGGATGGCTTTGAGGGTGAGTTTCTTTCATCATTTCTGCAATATGCCACTTTTTCCTCTTTCTTTCTTTACTAATTTTCTTCTAATTCACTTTTTTTTTTGGACTTTCATTTTGGAGATCGAGAGTGCCCGCCGAGAAGAGAGGCGAAAGGTTATTTTTCAGAAGATGGTTTTGAAGTACGTTCGTTATCGTGACAAGTACCATGAGATGCGTGCACGATTTAGAGCAGGTGGTAACCTACAGTCCCTTAGAGACGAATTGGGTCAGAAGGACGAGGAGCTTGCGCGAACTACAGGTAGATGCAGTGAGCTAAAGGGGTTGCTCAGGGCCAAGGACGACGAGCATGAGGTGAGCAAGGGGGTCGTCTCCAAATGCGTTAACCTTCAAGCGCAAGTGGCGACCCTACAGGCTGAGCTTGAGCAAAGCTCGATTAAAGTTTCCGTCCCGAGTGATGAGTTGACTGAGAAAGTGGCAGAGTTATTGGTGAGGGCCGAGGAGGCTAGGGTAGCGGCTTTGGCAAAGGCGACGGCATTAGAGAGCTCTATCTGCATCCTTAAGTCTGAACGTGCAACTGATGCGAAAATGGTCGCGCTAAGGGAGATGCGGCTTGATGAGCGAATTGGTGGGCTTAAGAAAGAAGTTTTGAGCCTAAGTGAGCAAGTTGCCGCTCTTGAGGCCGAGAAGGCACTATTGTTGGCTCTACCTTCTTCCTCTCATGCTTCCGCTTTCCCCAATGTTCCTCGTGATTTACACAAGATGTGGATCCATGTTGAGGCAAAGCTGGACATATATAGGAACTTGATGGCGGCGGTGAAGGTTCCTAAGGCCGACTTCGAAGATGCTCGTATTAAAGCACGTGATGCCAGGCTTGCCTGTGGTTATGACCCCGCCACACCGGGGAACGGCGATGATGAAGAGGACTTGGATGGGCTTGCATTTGATGCTTGGTACGACGATGAGTATGTTGATAGCGCGGGTGATGGTGGAAATGGTGCTGCTGGGCCGGGCGGTGAAGGTGGCGATGGCGCTGGCGGAGATGATGTAGTGTGATACTTGTGTACTTAGTTTTTGTTCTTTTTCTTTATTTTTTATTATTCTCTTTTTTTTTGGGGAGGGGGGGGGAGGGGTCTTTCTGGCCCTTTGTAAGATACTTTATTTTTTGGAATGGAATGACCGAAATTTTGTTGTATGTTCTTGGCTCTTTTCGCTTTTC